AGAGAAAACAAGAGAGAGAAAAAAAAAAGTAACGATCTTACAGGAAAAATTGAAGAGTAGAATTAACATGACGGTAAAGATTTTACACTGATGAAGTTTTTTATTGCCGAGAAATCGTTAACTTCGTTTTAAAAGAGAAAATGATCGTTTTAATACGTAGACGTCTACTACTTATTTAAACTTTATCGGTTTGTATTTGACATCAATAAACGATTGTAAAAACGTTCATGTCCGCGTAGTATTAATCTTTTACTCCTCATTTAATAATGATGTTTAATTTCCATTTAAATTTTCGATACTCTCTGAGAGAATCGCAAGAATCGAGACAATCGATTTTCAATATCGCTGTAAATCTAACGGCAACATTGATCAAACATAACTTTTTCTAGGTTATGTTCGTTGGCACAGTTGTTTTGGAGAGTAAAATTTCTTCGAGTAAATGTTGAATTAAAATGATAACATTTTCGTTCGCTGTATAACGTTAAATGTTATGTACACTCATTGTTTCGGGATTAGAATGATTCGAGATGTATAATGTTTCAGTAAGTGTTGGTGTTATAAAATGAAAGTAGGTTAATTTTGTAAATAACAAGAAGTGTACAAAATTTCTTGAATACAGTAAACGTATCTATTCAATTATAATAGTTTAAAAGAAGAAATTTGAAAGAAGCAACGTTAACATTGGAAGGAAAGGAACATGTTTAAAAATACATTCCAAAGTGGATTTCTATCGATCTTGTATAGTATCGGTAGCAAGCCTTTACAAATTTGGGATAAAAAAGTAAGGAATGGTCATATAAAACGAATAACGGATAATGATATACAAAGTTTAGTATTGGAAATATTGGGTAGCAATGTCAGCACCACGTATATCACGTGTCCAGCAGATCCTAGAAAAACTTTGGGTATTAAATTGCCATTCTTAGTGATGATCATTAAAAATCTGAAAAAGTACTTTACATTTGAAGTTCAGGTAAGATACAGCAGTTGAGTTGCCATTTGAACAATGAATATTACCAGTCAATGTGTCTTTAAAAGTTTTTAATTATAGGTAATCGATGACAAGAATGTACGTCGTAGATTTCGAGCTAGTAATTATCAGTCCACTACCAGAGTTAAACCATTTATTTGTACTATGCCAATGAGATTGGATGACGGCTGGAATCAAATTCAATTTAACTTAGCTGACTTCACTAGACGCGCATATGGAACAAATTACGTGGAAACGCTAAGAATTCAGATCCATGCTAATTGTAGAATAAGAAGAGTGTACTTTTCTGACAGATTGTATTCTGAAGACGAATTGCCTGCAGAATTTAAATTATTTTTACCAATACAGAATAAAGCAAAATGTTAAATTAGAAGTACATTTATAACATTTCACAAAACAATCAGAATATACCATTGATATTTATAAACTGATCATTTTTTTTACTTGGATTTACTGTGGGAGTGTGTACAATGAGTATATACTTTGTGCTTTAACAACATATTTATTATGTATATTATTTTATGATAATATCCATACGAAATGTACATTTTTTTTTAGTTCCTATTATAACTTTATTCCAATAAAATTAATACATGTTAACTGGTTACATATTTTTATCATTTCTACAGCATGAAGATTAGAATCATAATTAAGGTTAAACATTCTGTACAATATAAAGCATCCAAAAGCTATATTAGTTTTTAAACAAACAACTTCTTAAACGAAGGAAAAATTATGAAAATACGAAGGTAATGAGTTGTTGTGAATCATTGTGAATAATTATCTTCAGAAATTTAATATTCTAAAAATTGGAAAAGTTCAAACTTTATTGCATGGTCCAGTAATGACCTCTCCTTTATTTTTCATGCAGTTTACATAAGCGAAATTCACGTAAATGTCTGATTCTTTTACAAAGTAATTCTTTTGGTTAGATGCGAAAGAGACGTGTACACATAAAATCCCGAAATAAAAAAGCCACAGAACACGTACGTACATTCGAAACTGCAGAGGACAAGATATCGTTCACATATACCGTAGGAAGGTATTAATTGCTAATTATTAAGTATTGATTTTTTTTAAATGGGGCCGTAGCATATCCAAGGGGGAGGCTGTTCGTTCGCAAGTATCTGGAACTATTTTCCACACCGATAAAAACGTCTACAATCATCCCTCCCTCTCTACATGCGCGTAGTAATACACGACCAGAAAAATGGCGGGAAACTTTGGAAAAATTCGTATTATTTCCTAGAATATGCGACGTCTCCTAAGAAATCTGCCAGTCTAGGTCTATCCCTGATGCGATAAGCTTGCAATTGCATCGACGTACAGGACGCAAGGTAAATCAGAAAGATTTTTACAGAGGAAAATGCGGGAATGCAAACGAATGGGTGAAATAAGATGGCGGACCAATTAAGAGTGCCGCGCTGATACATTTTATTCTTTATTTGTGACAAGGGGTAGTATTTTAGAAATGAGAACTCGAGTATTTAATGAATTAACATTAATTAACGCGTAAACAGGTAGGAAACGATATAAAAATCTGGCCGTGTCCGTCTGTAACGGTAATATCGTTTAATACGGGCGAGATCCATAAATAAAACAATTGGTTATATACATATGTTTTTCAAATCGACGAATGCTATTATATATTTTGTATTGAGCACTCGTTTCGGGAGAGAGACGCCGACGCCCGGCGCCGACGTCGTTTTTAAAGCGTCAACGTTGTGCCAGAGTAATCTCACCCAATCCGGGTGACTCATAAGTAAAAAAAATCGTTAGAATAATCAACCCTCTTGGACACACTGGCACATCGTAAAGATGCATCGGTGAAAAGTTTTATTCTCGGACGTTTTCTACGTTTTTCATTGAGGTGTTAAGATAACGGGAACAGGGAGAGGGGGGGGAAAGAAAATATAACAATGGGTAATGAATTTAACATCGTGAACGAAGAGGCGTGATATCGTTTAACGGTTAATAATATTTTTTTTTCAAATTCGTGCTCCATTGAGATTATTCTCGTTGTGCGAAAGAAACGTGTCCATTTTCACGTGGTAGCTCGTGATAGCTCCTCAGCGGTTTTCTTTCGGTTGATTTTGAAATGGGTACGGCGGGTCGCGATTTCGAGCGCGATCGGGAGGACGAGCTCCACTGTCGAATTTGTGCTAGTGACATACCAAGAAACGACGGAGTCCACATTTTCGCCGAGGATGGTAGACGGCACTACCTGCAAACCAAAATACGAAAATATCTGTACATCTCGGTGAGTCTATCCGCGCTCCATGCGAATTACTACGTTCGCCGTTGTATGCGCGCCTGCATGTATACAGTCGAATCTAGTTGTGTGTGCAGTTTTTTTTCGAAATCTCAATGGGACCCTCTCTCTGATCCACCGTTGGACGGACCCCCCTCTCACCCTATTGTCTGCACGCGTGAACAAGTGTTCAAGCATATTTGAACCGATATATCTACATATATACATATATTTAGCAAATGAACGGTTTTGCGTGAAATATATCCGTCTTAAATATACTTACTGATTACAGGTCTGGTATTTAGTTAATTATATAAAAAATCGTCTAACTAAGAGAATGTACTTTCCCGTTGAACGGAATTGAACGTAATTACTTGTGTTGTATGTTTCTATGGAAAATACGCATATGTACTCAGATTTTTATTTAAACGAAAATGTGATTTTTATTAAATATTAGATGAAAAATGAAATTTCACATTCGTAGTTTTATTTTAATCGTGGAAAAATTGTCGGCGCCGTACTTTCGAAACATAGTACAATGGGACATTTTAAGTAAATTATGAAGACACTTTTATTTGCCGATACCAATTAAACAGTAATTAATGTGATCGGAAGGTATACGGATATATAATTTAAATGTAATATCTTGGTACGTAACAACCCTAGCGACAGTCTACAGGGGTCCATTTTGATACGAATATAAAAGTGTTAAAAATTAGCATTTTATTGATTACAATAAGTATACTGTATACGTGTATATATATGTACATACGTTGTGTACGTATAACAAACACATCTAAAAATAAAATATGAAACATGAAACATTCGTAAATAATTCGTAACGTTTCTTGAATAAAACGATGAATGAAATATTTAACATGATATTAATAATAGAGACAAATATTTCTGATATATAATGAAAACGTTATATCTTTAATGTCGAAGGCGGGGTTAATTTTCGTCTGACAATAATGGTTTTTTAATTTCAAAAACGAGATTTTCACAAAAAGATAAAAAGCTTATGAATATTTTTCTAAGTCATTACCATTAATATTACTCTAAAATTTTAATATTACCATTAACGTTTTGTTATCTATTATTATTTATTATCTTGTTTATGGTATATATATACAAATTATGTTATAGGTGTCCTCGGAAGATAAGTTTTCAAAAATGGTGTGTGTTACGTGTGTCAAGAGATTAGAAAGCATTCATCGCTTTGCAATGATGGCATATAGAACACAAGAGAAACTAAAATTGCAATTATATAATAGTACTGAAAACACCAATGTTATACAAGATGTAGGCTTGGAAAGTTCTAAAGACATGCAGGATGGAACAAAAAAGGTGGAGGATCGGGGACTGCTACATACAATATTAACAAAAGTAAATTAAAAATATTATTAATTAGGAGTCACTTTGTAAGATTTTTCTCATACTAACATCATCTTACAGGGTGCAATAGAAATTTTGGCTGAAGGTGAACCATTGGGACCATCGGAATTAATCTCGCAGGAGGATAAATGCCCTACTCCAAGCATGGAAGAAATGGAAGTTAAAGTAGATCCAATGTTATTTTTACAATACGGTATGGAAGAGTCAGAGTCAGAAACTTCAGAGGTATCGGATACAGAGGATAAAATAACAAGAGTCGATTCTCCAGAACCATTATCGTTAACAAACAAGTAAGAATACTAACATTGCTATTAACAACTCAAACAAATCATGTATTTATGTTCTTCTGCATATTTTCCTGTAGAACCGAAGATACAAAGAAGGAGAAGAAAGAAGAGAACAGTGATGATAAAGCACAAGAAGATGATGAGGATCTTGTTTCCAATGCATCATCCAAACCTCACGAATGTACAATATGTTCTAGATCCTTTATATCACAAATTGGTCTACAAAATCATTTGTGGTCTCATTTGCCTAAAGATAAGCGAGCCGATGGAAAGCCTATTTTAAGATCACAACAAGTATATTCGACTAACGGCGTTCTTCATATGAATATCGATAACAATTCATCTGGAAACTTTGTGTGTCCAATTTGTAGTAAAAAAATATCTACTAAGGGTAATCTAAAAGTGCATTTGGAAACTCATCGGCCTAAGGGAAAGTATGATTGTGACATATGTGGTAGAATGTAAGTGTATCAGCCATTACAAAAAACTTACTTTTACTTCAAAAATTTCTAGTAACAGTGGGTGATTGTGCTTTCAGCTTTAAAACACAGTCAAACTTGTTCAGACACAAGGAATACCATGGTGGCATACAGTTCCCATGTAACGTATGTGGAAGAGTTTATCCAACAAATTCAACATTACGCGCTCACAGCATCACACATTCAGATCTTAGACCGCATGCGTGTTCTCTTTGCAACAAAACATTTAAAAGAAATCAGGATCTAAAGTTTCATATGAATCAACATACAGGTGCAAGACCTTACCAGTGCCCCTACTGTCCAAGAGCTTTCGCAAGTTCAGGTAACTGTTTTTCACACCGAAAAAGAATGCATCCTCGAGAGGTACATCGAGACAGGCAAAGAGCGGCAGACTTAATGAGATGAACCATGGGTAATCAGTACGAAGAATGGTTTTAGAGAAATGTAATAATTTAGGGAACGGTCGTATTAGCTGTTACGAAATGAACGAGCTTTAGTTTCAAATATTAATGGTGCTAACACGAGAGGTAAAAAGAACATTTTGTATGGTTTGATTGACTCGTTTCTAGTTAGCGTTAGGTGTCGTTATTGTTACCAATGGGCACTTAGTTGTTTGTTCTTAAACCGTAACTAGGTTTCCTTTATACAGAATAGCAAGAAACAGATATATATTTTTCTTAATTTTTTACCTTATTAATGTTACTGAATATATACTTCCATTGTTGTTAACGAATTTAGTGATCATTATTTTATAACTTATACGTACATAGTACAAGTGATAATAACAATAGGTTTTAAACACTCTAGTCGAAATAAGAAATTTGTATTTTTTACTGGTTTATCTATATTTATCGCGTAAATATTTTCTTCTTCATCATTAAGGGATAGAAATTATAATTAGACAGCTCTCGGTACCATTACTTAGAGAAGATTCTACGAAAGTTCAATATTTAAATGGAAGCAACAATTATTAAATAACACGATAACGATAACAGCATTACCGATATACAGTATTATTCAAGTCGTTTCAAATTAGGATATGTTAACTTATTGATAATGAATACAATGAAGTATTAAATATTAAGCTAGGGATAATACTTTTTATGAGTTCGGTAGAACTAAGTAAAAGGTCGTTGAAAGGTACTTAGTGAAATAAAAACTGTGATTTTTTATAAATCAGCGGAAGAATCATTGAGGTATAAAAATTGATCCGCACTCCGGATTGGATTAAAGTACTGTTCTACTCGAACGTTCGAGTAAAGTGAATATCGTACTTAGAAATAGTGCTGGCACAAGTAATTTATCAATCGTTTGCGCCCGAAATTTGTGTTCTTCGATATTGCTAGTTTTTCAAATCACAAACTAGTTAGACATTATGCGTAACATGTTTGAGCGGCATGTACTTAATATCGTTTAACGGACAAGGAGTACAAAGGTTTAACGTTCAAGCATTTTACGTTTAATCGATAGTTTCTTCGTCGGGGAGGCAATCTTATTTTATTATTATTAAAAATACACACATACACACACGCGTACACGAACATACACACATATATATATATATATATATACACACACGTACACCTAAACGGATTTGAGTGACGTCGAAGGTTCTAAAAGAAAGCGCGTTATTTTGTCCATACAAAGTATTGCTGTGCAACAGTGAGTATTTCATAAGATTACATTATACAAGACAGTGACCAAAAGAAAAACCAGAGGGGAAACGAAAACGTCGGAGGAGACGGGAAATATTCTTGTGAACCGAGGGAAAGTTCGTGGTTCTGGGGGATATTTTTAGCACGATAAACGAGCATCATCATTGAGTAACGTTTAAGACTGTATACGAAAATTCTGTGTCAAATTAGGGTAACGCATTATTAATGTAAGTATAGTATACGATATCAATGGCCGTATTGTCATGAGAGATGAGTCTAGTTTATTCAGATGCAGTATTCCACGAGCTAAACGTAATAAAACGAAGTAGAGGTCGTAGACTACGTTACGGACGATCACACAGTGTTATTCTTTTAAACAGGTCTGTAACGATTAAAGTAAATGTTAACTGAAGTCTGAGTAGCTTTAGGGGGATCTAGGTAGATAAGTTTATAGGAGCTGTGTAATTGGTAGAGATCATAGACCGTGCTTCCGTATAACGTACACATTCGCACACGTGTTGCATAGTCCAAAAGAGGAGAATAAACGAGATCGTAACGGCGATCGACAAGGCGACTGCTAATAAGTAGACTGTCGATTTTGTGTTTGCACCGGAGGAGTGCAAAGTATGATCGACGTAGAAACGCAGTAAAATTTTCGTATCGGTTCGAATCAAACGAAATCAATAATAGAAATCAGTCGTTCATTTGATCTCGTAGCGAATCAAGATCCGCAGTCTACTGATAAGTTAGTGAGTAGGCATTTCACGGCGAAAGAATCTTGTGTAACAATGTTGCTACGTTAGTGATAGTAGGGTGACCAAGCTTTCGCCTCGGCGATTATATTTGAAATTCAATGGACCAAACATCTTTTTAGCTCCAATTCTACCAGATACGGGAAATTAGCTGAATAACGCGTCAACGTGTTTAACGATAAATGTTACTTAATCGTTGAGCGACAAGTCGGTTCAACGGTTCGGGGAACGTGAAAGCTTCCATGGGTCGCCCTAGCTTGTTAGGAACACAATCGTATATTTTGCGATTACGTTTTTCGAGGACGCTTGCCAATTGCATAGTAACGCAACTGGGGATAATCGAGCGATCGTGTATCCACGGAAATAATCAATTTTTCTAAAGAAAACAAAGGAAAACCGCAGACAAGATGGTCCACGATCTTGCTCTTATGGCTCAATTTTTACGTCTAGCTCTTCGAGCAGGGACGAGCAAATTGTCTCGGATAGAATTGTTATCGTTACCGTCGCTGAAACACGCATCTATAATTCGAACAATTAATCTCTTCAACCGACCAGTCAAACCATCTATTCGTATTCGATCGAGAAGTTCGGACAGCCCGAACGATTTGCTCGGTCCCTGCCGCGGCGAGCGAAAAATTGAGTTGAACCATTTTCTCTGAAAAGTCCACGTATCGGAGGTGACTAGCATCTAACTAGCGATTAAACGATATCTCAAAAGTGCCAGTAACCCAGTGAACTAACGTAGCGTATTCCAGCAGACGAATACTGTGGATAATTATTTGTAGAACCAAGATATCAGTTATCGATAATATCAATTGTGACACTTAATAAAAATTATTGTATAAAAATCGAGCCTTCTCATTCGGGTCGACGAACGCTGATTCTCGTAAAAGTCGTTCCTGCAGGTCGCCGTTCCCTCTTTCCCGCTGCGCCGGCACCGAAACTTCGTAATCTCCGTGACCGTGAATTCGTTCGACGACGAGCGCAGAGACAAACACCGCAATTAGGTACAAATGTTTTAATTCCGTTAATAAATATTCATTCAACGAGAGTCGCTTACGTGAGCGGCGTGCTTCTTTCCAAGAAACCATCGATTTACGCCACGTCGCGCGGTTTTCTACTGGAATATTTATCTTCCGGTTTAAAGTTCCCGAGAGTCGATGTAATTTGGAACATTTGCAGAATTACCGATAAACGCTGCGAATTCTCTGACCGATAGAATATTCGGTGTATCGCTTAATCATTCGGACTCGATACTCCACGAGTCATCCGACGTGTCATCCGACATTATCAACGCGTAATCGGAGTTGTAGTTCCTCGAAGAAGGTCAATCTTATTTCCGGTCGCCTACGGGGTATAAAAGACAATCTCTGTCGCGCGCAAACAATCTTCTCCGGTTCTCGATCCGTGGATCGTTGAAGCACGAGCTGCTACACATATAGTTTCCAGAGGTATACCTCCGAACGTGTAGTGTGCAATTTAGATGTACGCATATGCAGGCGCTTCTGTGTCTCTGCACCTGCCCCGCGCGTACGTGTGCAAGGTATAGGAAGATATGAATCACCGCTAAGAATAGATCGCTTTTAACTCCTTTTCTTGCTGTTGAATCGGATCGCGAGAAATTAGCGAATCGAGCAGGCGAGATAATTATTCCAACTTGTTTTCACCGGGAAATCGACTGGCGTTGTCGCCCGTTCTAAAATCCCGTTTATAACACTATAGAATTGAATTATCCAATCGTGTCTGGCCGAAGGGTTACGAACCTCGTAAGATTCTCTTTCATTCGGAAAATGTTCTCGTTCTCTGACATTGTGCAGAGTTTCGCTTAACCGTGCGTATCAATTGAATGATGCGCCTTGTTAGACCACTTACAACGCGACCCGTTGTTTCGCGAATTGCACGGGGAAAGGGAGGAAGGGGCTCGCTGACGATCCAATTAAAAGATGAATTTATTGTCGGCGCGTGTTATTGCCGGATGGCTGGAAACGACCCATTTCCAGTTTCCTCGTTTACGAATATTCGGGAGACACGGATGGTTCCTTGAAGAACGATCAAACGAATCGATGTAACGCGAAACTGTTTGTTTGCCTGTTCGGTAATTTCAGCAGGAATCATAATTCTAATGAAAACATGGCTGATTAAAGCGATGTTTACAATGAACCGATGCTATCGGAGATGCATGTTTACGTTGATAAGCGGGATCGCCGGAGAGGCGTACTCCGATTCAATTGGAATGAATCGCGTTGCTCGGGCATACATCACGCGAATAGTCGGAGGATTCAAGTTCAACGATTGCCGTTTTATCGGGCCGAGATGCGGGTCATTGTTAAGGTTACGCGGTTTCGCGTTTCGTGAAACACGGCATAGAGGAAAAGTTCGCTTTCTCGCCTCGACCGATCAATTTCGCGAGGCGACCGTTCGTACGGAATTTTGATCGGTTTTTCGGGTGAACCCTGTTACGTAAAATTGTCGTTTATCTTCGCGTCTGTTTGAACTGGGATTCAATGGGAATCCTTGACTCCGAGAACAAGAGAGCCGCGAACCGTCAGGCTCGAGCCATGAGAGGACGAGCAACGAGAACTGTACCGGAATAATGTTGTACTTGCTTAGCTTGCATCGCATTTACCATTATTATCATAATCGCAGTTGAAAGGGCAACGGCCCGACGCGCACAACAAACGAAAGCACAGAATGAGAATGAATTGAAATGAACCGAATCGAGACCGGTCAACGTGGGCCAAATGAACGAAATAAAAATAGACCCCGAAGTGAACTAAACCGAAATGTTACGAACGCGTCGGCTCGAGCCGCGTTAACGAGACGTTTAAAAGGGTCCGCGTTGGCGTGTCCTGATCGAGACGATTAAACCGATCGACGGAACCGTGCCGGGATCGAACGTTTGAACGGGTTCCGCGGGTCTAGCAGCAATAATCCGTGCATTCCACCGCGTCCGTCGGGCAAGGCGTACCGAACACCGGGCTTTCTGGTTTCGAGAAATCGCGGTATTGTGTTGCGCAACCGGGGAATCGAGCGATGAAATTGATAGGCGCGGAAAAGGAGTCTTCGCAACTCGGCGAGGTTGCATCACAGGTGTAACGGCACGCAAGTTTCAAAGTTCCGCCGCTAATTTTCCATGTTCGAAAAGTTTCACGCGGCCGGGGAGGCTAGAAGAAGAACAGCTGCAATGCCGTATCATTACTGCAAGGTCGCCGATGCACGGACATGTTGCCCCTAACGATACATTATGTTTAATCGAAGGATCCACCCGATCGCCGACCGTCCCTTTCCCACTATAATTATACCCGCTATCCGTTTTGCGGCACCGTTTGACGCAATTCGATCTTTAAAATACTACGCCTCGCTTATACCGGTCTTATTTCCGCACTTAGTCTTATCTAGACACGTATTATACCGTTGGCAGAACAAATATATGCTGGTACTCGTAATAACAGCGCGACGGCCACGCAAAAACGGTTCGTGATACCACAGATCTAGAATTTTTTTAGCGATTGTTTTCGCAATTTCTCGTCCACGATATGCTCGTTGAACGATAACTTCGCCCGACAATATGGCCCCCTTATCGCGCAACCATCTTGCATTTCTTTCGAAATCCTATTTAACTTTCTCAACTAGCGTGTAACTATCTTTTTCCTTAGATCAGAGGTTACGGTTTACAGATAAAAATATCTGGCAACCGAGTAATTATACTCGATAATTCATAAGGAACTTATTCATGAATTAGAGAGGAAAGAATGAATCAGCTTTTCGGGAGATAGAAAATGGCGGAACGGTTCCGCGATCTAATGTTCGGCTAGACCGAAGTGCTCGATGCGGAGTTAATAAAGGGAAAATTTGAAGATGGACTCCATTCGTGAGAAAAAATAACCATGTAAAGAATATTTTCGCTGTATCGTGAGGGATATTGGATTTCATCATAGTTTTATCGTATCCTCGATCATACTAGGACCCGGCATTTGAAACAGACGACTCTGTACGTAGGAACCGTTCAGATCGATTATATGGAATGGGAAATTCCTGTTCGCGAATTTAGTCTTTCTCCGTGATCAACCTTTCGCGATTCGAATCTTCGACGGATCGGTTAGGCACGGTACGCGAGTGAGCTCTGGAAGGGGGAGAAGGGAGTGAACGAGAGAAGGTGGGAACGAGAGGAAGAGGAGAAAGAGGAGAAAGAGGAGAAAGAGGGAAAAGGAGAAAAATTCGATCATTGCCGTGGTGAAAATTCACGACGCCTTCGCACGCTCACGTGTTCGAACGAAATAGATAACCCGATTCCTAGTTATTTTTTAAGAGAGGGCTTCGCTATTGGTGGGAATGGCAGAATAACAGGTCGCGTAGTTCGTAACGTCCTTCAAACGTTCCTATCGATTCTGAGAGAGTGCACGGAGAGACGGCCGGAGCAGTATAATACGATGTTCACCGTCGGGACATGTTAGTTGATCGGTAACGGTGCTTGTTGTCCAGTGATCGCCGTCGACGTTCCTCGCTCTAGGATAACAGGCTTCCCCTTTTCTTTTTTTCACTCTCCGTTTTCCGTTGGTCGTTCTCTCCGACCGAACCCCGACCGCTAAAAGAGATTCCGCGGAAAATGTCAGACGACGAGGGCAAATCGTGGTGTCACTCCCGTCAAACGTGTGTGGTGCAACCACTCTTGACAGGTATTTATGACAGAAATCTATCCGATTAACCGTTTCGCCGTACGAAGTAACCTCAAAGCGCGCGATTCCATTTCGTTTTCTCGTTTACTCTCTGTTGATATCGCGATAGTGATGTCACACGTGGCGTTTCAAAATATCATCCACGTGAGCTATTCGCAATGAATTCGATCTATCATCTATTGTTTTCACTTTCTTTTTTTCTCGCTCGGCATTCTTCCTCCTCGAAAGGAAACGACACGCGATCTTCTCTTCGTGCGGTTTGTTCCTTTTAAGTGATCTAGTTACCGAGATTTCTGCGAATGTGCGCGATCGTTGTTTCATAAACGTAAATAGAAATTGTTTTCGTTTTATCGGTGATGATGTAACGGTTATTTCATCCATTCACGGATTGAATATCAATCCTCTGTTGTTTCGAATGACTTAACGTTAAGGAATACTTAATGTTTTCCTTAACGATCGTTCGAGTTAACGGCGAAATGTTTCCGTGTTTGTTTAAATATACCTATGTAAGTGTGACATAATTTTAGATTTGTATCAAATTACAATGGCATACGCTTACTGGAAAAGCGGAAAAATGAACGATCACGCAGTGTTTGATTTATATTTTCGCAAAAATCCGTTTCAAGGGGAATTCACTATTTTTGCTGGATTGGAAGAATGTATCAAATTTTTGGAGAAGTTTCATTATTCTTCGAGTGGTACGTAGTAATGTCTATACTTATCGTTATTGGACACTTTGGAATGTTTATTACAAGCATTAATCCCACAGATATCAAATATTTGAAGTCGACTATGCCATCGTCGGTAGATCAAAGGTTTTTCGATTACTTGAAAGACCTTACACCCAAAGATGTGACAATATATGCCATGGAGGAGGGTTCGGTTGCTTTTCCTAGGTTAGTAAGGATATCATAGAACATGCATGATCATGCAGAAATCATTCAGTTATGTTAATCATCGTCATCATTGTCATCGTTTAGGGAACTTTTTATTGCTCTTAAGACAGCAGTTTAGAGTTAATGTTCGAATGCTTATCGACATTACATATTTGATGAAACATCAAATCTTAATAAGTTAAAACTTCAATGCAAATTGATATGTTACGCAGAATACCATTACTAAGAGTAGAAGGTCCATTAATAATGGTACAACTTTTGGAAACAACACTGTTAACCTTAGTAAACTATGCAAGTTTAATGGCAACTAATGCAGCAAGGTACCGCATGGTTGCAGGGAAAAATATAACATTGTTAGAATTTGGCCTTCGAAGAGCTCAGGGTCCTGATGGTGGATTGAGTGCATCTAAATACAGTTATATGGGTAAATATTTCTTAATACATCAGTTATATTAATTATATACACATGCAAAGAATTGTAGAATGTTAGTCTCTTTGTGTGCTGTATATTTATATATTTCTTTGAATAAAAATCAATAAGCAGCACCATTCTGTAACAGTCACAACTACCTTGGTGATGAGAAACAGTTTATGAGGTCAAGTCAAATGTATCTGAAAGCATATACTTTTCATATTTTAGACTTCCAAATAAAAGTATACAAATTGTATATTTATATTTTTATTAATTCTACTTTTATTTATTTTTTTAGGTGGGTTTGATGGTACCAGTAATGTACTAGCTGGAAAGCTTTACAATATTCCTGTGAGTGGAACACATGCGCATGCATACATTACATCTTTTACTGGCATTGATGACTTGCAAGAAAGAGTAAGTAATTATTAATCACTGTGTTCCAAAGTTTATAAGAAGTATCTTATGTTAATTGAATTCATTTTATTTTCTTCAGACATTGGCACATAAAGAAACAGGAGAGGTTTACGATCTTCTGGAATTAGCATACAAACATCAGGATTCTATTGCAGCTGATGTAGGAACACTAGTTTCTGAGGCTTCTAGCGGAGAATTAGCTGCTTTGATTAGTTACGCTATTGCTTTCCCGCAACGATTTGTTGCTCTTGTAGACACGTATGACGTGAAAAGGTATGACACTATGCTTATCTTGTTTATATTTTCATTTATCTTGTACCTTTCTCTTCTGAATTTATAATTTATTAATTGTTTCTTTCGTATGTTTCATACATGTAAGTAGATACTGTACTTTGATTTAATTTTATATATGGGCAATCTTTCTTTCTATCGTTAGGTATGCATCTCTGTTTGAACATTTGCACGTATACTTTCAGAATTGTATTTAAATGTGCACTGCTATGTTTCTGTATTGGGTTACATTAATGCATAGAACGATCTACTAAATTTACCATTATTTTGTTTAGAATCTTTTGCTGTCTACAAATTTAAATATTACTATATATACATTACTATCTAGAATGCATGAATTTGAAGTAGTTCGGAAAATCGAGTGCCTGAATTTTCAATGCCCTTGTTTAAAAGGGAAGATGAAAGTACTGTCGTGAGAAAATTCAGATTAATAGATTAACAAGTAAAAAAATTTGTGAATTCCATATTATAGGTATTATATCAGTAGTGTCACTTCTATCGAAAAAAGTACATTTAATCGATTTTATTACATTAATACATTAGTAATTCTAATTACACATTCATAAAGCAGGCATGATGAAATATATACACACTGTAGCCTAACAGGAGTGTGTTTATAGCATCGAAACCACGGCCAAGAGACAGGCACGTATAGCCAGCCTAAATGTAAAGAATAAACGTCTAACAAATGGGTCCAATTCTCATGCCCAAAATGGTGTCAGAAACAATCCGATTATATCAGAAACGACTTCGCATCACAAGAATGGCTTTTTAAGACGAGGCGAATTGGGTGAGCTCTATGTGAGGTACGATATTATCCTTTGTCTGCTTTGCAGGATAAATCATTTATTTTTTCATAATCTACTAAATATAAGTCATTCAGTTACATTATTTTCCACGAGTAGAAAAATTACATGTTCATACAAATTTTATTGAGTTCAATGTTTATATCATCAGTTCTAAAAAATGTACAAATATGCAGTTTTTACTAGTTATCTCATTGAAATTCAAATTCAGTTTAAATCGATTCTTTTATAAAACGAAAATATCATTCTGTAAAGCGGGCAAGACTATATTTCAGGGTATCTTGCTTACAAAATGAAATAGCAAAGAAGAAACAAGGCAAGTTTTATATCGTCTTTGTCTTAAATGTGCGACCTTATATAGTACCCTTCCCAATTCTGCCATTTAACCAAACAGTTATTAATTCAATGTATTGGATATTATAAAAATATGATAAACCATGCCTTGTAATTGAAAAGATATATTGATAAAACTCCATTGGAACTTTCTTCGGAAACACTTCATCATAGTTAACAAGTTTTAAACCGTTTGCATGCGATGTCAATGGATATGTTCTGTTACAAGTAACTTTGCTATATAAGTATAAAATGACTAAAAACCTCATGTATTTATACTTAATTAATGGTACTGCACTGATTCTTTTCATTCTTTGGCACTGTAGCAATAGTTAAATTATCTTTTCATTTATGTAGAATATCTGTAGTTTATTGGTACGATTCATGTAATAGTAGAGTAATTTTGTAGATGTATTTTGTAGGTGGATTGTTAAAAGTGTTCAAAAATAATTGATCATTACTTCATATTAGTACTTTTAAGTACGTGCATAATAGATTTAGGATTTTGTATTTAGGAGTGGCCTTCTAAACTTCTGTGCTGTGGCATTAGCTCTAAATGATTTGGGTTACAAAGCACTTGGTATCAGAATTGATAGTGGCGATTTAGCATACTTAAGTAATGCCGCTAGGGACATATTTGAACGAATTGCAGTTAAATATAATATACCCTGGTTTGCAAAGTTGATGATTTGTGCATCAAATGACATAAATGAAGAAACTATTTTAAGTTTAAATGAACAGGTAAATATTGTTATGATAAAATACCGTTCACTCATTTTGTAATGTATTTTTCCCTTTACATAAAAGTCTTTATTTTTGTAGAGTCATAAGATCGATTGCTTTGGAATCGGTACACATTTGGTAACATGTCAAAGACAGCCAGCATTGGGTTGCGTTTATAAAATGGTTGAAATTAATAGTCAGCCTAGGATTAAGCTCAGTCAGGAAGTCGGTAAAGTAACAATACCAGGAAAAAAGGATGCGTTTAGATTATATGGAACAGACGGATACGCTTTAATTGATCTTTTACAAAGATCCACCGAGGACGTTCCACAAATAAAGCAAAAAGTTCTCTGCAGACATCCGTTTCAAGAATCAAAAAGAGCATATGTTATCCCAACACGAGTAGAATCCCTGCATAAGGTAAATCAATATATGGTAAAATTAGAAAAATCAGAAATACTTGAAATCACAATGTTATGCAGGTATATTGGAAGAATGGTAAATTATGTCAACCACTACCCACTTTGCATGAAGTACGAAATAGAGTGCAGGAGTCTTTAAGAACGCTGAGAAATGATCACAAAAGAAATTTGAATCCCACACCATACAAAGTAAGTTCTGTAAATATTTTAACTCGTATATTTTTTTTTATTATTATTATTATTATTTAATGTTTATCGACTCTTACAACAACAACGTTTATTCAGGTTGCTGTCAGTGATGATTTATATAATTTCATACATGATTTGTGGCTTCAAAATGCACCCATTGGGGAGCTTTCGTGAAGTTATGATTAGATTACAATTGCAAAAATGGTTACAAAAAAAGAGCATAGTTGTTAACATATAAAATAGACCGTGTATTCTGATGGCCTATACGACATATTATACCGAGGGTTTCAAAAGTTTATTTTTTACACTGTTCAAAAAATATCTACTTGTACAACCATCGTTTGACTATAGTAGTATATTTTGATAAATGAGTGCAAATCATCCTACCATATGTTTATATAGTTTTATAAGCATAGGACAGATTATCTTTAGGAATTGTTGCAATTTTTATGAACTGTACTGTGAACGTGTAACAGTATTAGTAAACGTGAACTAGCCATGCACAATTTAAGTAGAAATATTTTCAATTTTTAATTGAACAAAAAGGATTAAATGTATATACAATACAAACAAGTTTGCAGACTTAATGTAAATGAACTGTAAATAATCGTCGATGTCATTTAAAACTTCTTTTTATAAGAAAAGGTTTTTCAAATTTTCTTATTTAAATAAATTATTTTTTTAGTGCAACTAAAAATTAAAGTAGAAAAAGAATTTTATGAAGTAAGATTTTAAATGTTTACGAGCACATTAAATAATTTACGTTCTGAGTTTGATTTCTTGTCATGAAAAAGTGTACAAATTTCGGGCATAATAAAATTTGTATAGAATTTTAAGATGTATAAATATGTAAAAAAAATATATTACAGACGAAAATCTATTTGGTATATGACACTGGTTTTAAAACAATTCTTTCTACAATTCGAGTAAGCTTTGAACTGACATGTTGCTAAGTTCATTGAACTTAGTTCATTGAACTGTTCGGATTATCCTTTTTTGAAGATGTTTACATATAATTTGACCTTGTTTTGTACTGTATAGTTGTATTGAAATGTACTTTAGGAATACATGTAATAAGTTAGTATTGAATAATGATAGATTTTTACACAGAAATTTTATTGTAAATGCATTAGTAGATCTGGTGTTTTTTCACATTAGAATAATTTAATGTAAACGAACACAATAATAAAGATAATTGTTTTTATAATAAAATTAACGACGTGTAGTGTGCAATCATATTGATGTGTATTTGTAAAAATACTGTGAAATAATCATTCGCTTAGGGAAGTCAGTTATATCCGAAATATAATAAAAAGGTATGTAATGTTAATTGATTTATTAAAATAATTTTTTAACGTATAAATCTGCCGTTACAATGCAATTTATTATAGAGTCTTAGAATTTCGTGTACTTTAAAAAAAATTCGATGTTTCCTTTTGTCCTCTGCAAGCTTCAGCTTATGGACGTTCATAAATGTGAATCCAATTACTGGTCACTTGCTATATCTTGTAAGAGTATATAGAATGTATGGCGAAATGACGTCATTCTGATACAAAATAAAACATTATATGACATTGAATTGTGGGAAAGAAGAATTTTCTCAATATGTAATTTCGTTTAGAAAAATAATTTTGATGGGATTGAAGGGGTTATATCAAGGTCAGTTGATTCATCATCGTACTCGTTCTCTAACCTCTAATAACGAATACTTTGTTGTAAACAATAAGGAGATTGCATGTATATTTCTTCTTTTGCAGGCAAATATTCAGTGTACTAATAGAATTATTATGCATCCAAAGTTAATTAAAATATATAGGCCATTGCAAATATACAATATGAGAACAGTTTCTCAAATTATTGCAAAATCTTGCCCATTTATTACTCTAGTTTATAGTTTAATCGTTGTTGTTCTCACTACATTTATTAATGGAAGAATCACTCCAGTTTTTGTGTTCTTTTGTATTCAAGTATACTTAAATTGGTATTCAGTGTACAATATCAGTCGAAAGGTAACGACTATGGAAGTTAGAACAATAGGAAAAAAGACGATACACAATAAAGTAGCAAATACTATAGAATATAGGTGGTACTGTGAGAAGTGCATCAAATATACATACAAACCAACGCAACATTGTATTTTTTGTCGAAAGTGTTTTCATTTTCGAGATCATCACTGTTCTTTCTTAGGTGCCTGTATATTACGACAAAATATTGGAAACTTTATCTTATTCTGTTTTTACGCATCCTTGACTTGCATTTATTCATTATGCACACTTGGGCCATATTTATATGAAAATATCAATCGTTTAATAAGAACTGATACAGACTCTTTTAATATATTTTTAAACTTTTGTGTTCCTATTGCTTTGATTAAATTATTATATTCCAAAGAAAATAGTTACATATTACTGATAACAATGTTTGATATATTAGTTTCCATTTTATGTATTTGCTTGGTATATGCAACATGGAAATTGCATAGTTGCATGAATGGTAAACAACGATATTCAAACATGTCAGGAAAACAAAATCTAAAGGAAATTTTTGGTAGTTATGGTTTTTCAAACATTATTTTCCCATACAATGGTCTCATAGGAATTAGAGATCTAAACGGAAAATATGAACTTAAACAAGTATAACCATATTGTTAGAGCTTGAATACATATTGAATTATGAAAGCATTGAAAAACTTTTACCATGAGATAATAAGCATCAATTATAACATTTTTTTTTACCAGTATGTATGTATATGAAAGTAAATGTACGCTTTTTAATTATTGTAAGTTGTACTGTATTGTAATAAATATCACACAGACTTTATACATTTACACAATTGAAATCATACTGTACTGCACTCATCGCAGAAGTGTTTTGGAAATCATAAAGAAAATTCTTGTACAACGAAGTAACTTTTTTGTTCTTATAATCATATTTATAATAAACGTCCTATTAAAGGCATACTCGGTCATAATATTATTTGGCTTGTATATAGATCATAGGAATAATAAATAACAGTAAATTTTTTGTTCCCTAAATTGAGTCTTACAAATTATAGAATAATGGAAGAATAACTTGTCTAGTAGTTTTTCATCTATCGAATCAATTTAAATATTTTATAGAAAAATCCTTGCTTGCAGAAATGTAGAACAATCAGATAATGATTTGCAATTAAAATTAAGAAGTTATTGATATGAATTTCTATTCTTTACAGTATATAACAAAATCATTTGGAATATTATTTATCATAAAAAATTGTATATCTAAGGAAATATATTTTATAATTCTGTATGCGTGTAATGTTGGGCTTTGAAGTCATTAGGATGAATGAATACTCCTTCTGTTGCTAACCACTGAAGATGGGGATCGTACGTTGTAAAATATTCACCCACTACTTCATTCTGACCATTGATGAGAATATTATAAACTTTTTCAGTTACTGCTAAATACCTGTAAAATATAGGATATTTTAAGTATGCACAGAAACATTGTAGAAATGTTTCGATATTATCATTTGAACTTACACATTTGTATCTACATGTTTTAATGTGACAGGCTCATCTCTCATCCAAAATTCATTGTGGCACATTAAGAGCCAATTGTCTCCATTATCTCCTTCTCCTTTGCTATCCCCATAAGCGGATATTTCTTGCTTACCACTAAGGGGTGAGAGGACCCGGTGAGAATGAAGATTCTTTTTGGTTGCTACGTGTTCTAGTCTTATGGTATCTCCACATTTGATAGGCTCGCTGTTACAAATGAATTATATGAAATGAAATGTAAAATAGTCATATATCTTAATATGTTCACATACCCTCTAGTGCATTGTTTCTTGGTTCCACCTTTAACAAGCCAATACGAGTTTCCATCCTCTTTTGTTGCTGTACCCGTTACTGACTGTTGGCGACTGCCACCTCCATATTTTATATCATGAGAGTGCAATCTAACTTTGTACTCCACATTCATTAGTTTTAACGCGGAACCG